GCTACTCTGAAACCTGACAGAATAAATGTTAATCATAATTGGGCAGTTTGTGCTTTGAAATTGTCATGTGAATTAAAGGCTTATGAAGGAAGGCAGGGGAGCCACACGCACAACACTCTGGCGCAGTAGGTAAGTATACGTATCCACAGTTTACCTATGGGAAATTGAGGCAAAGAGAGACCTAAGGTCACACAGGGAGTCTGACAGCTGCTGTGACACTCTTCCCTCTGAGTCATTATTGAATGAGTCACTCGTGGTCATTAAAGAACCTAGGGCCTTTCTGGTAAGAAAATGGGTGTTAACTCTGGTGTCTTGGCCAAATTCTAATCTGGATAGTTGCATTTTGCCTCCCCAAGATTCTTTCTGTAATTTTGGTGCTGAATCATTGTAATAACTTGCTTTTATTTATTTAGATTTGATAAAGCTTTTCTACCATAGCCAGAACAACTTATACAACTACCACCGATGCGCTAGCCCCAGACTGTAGATTGTCCTATAACCAGGGAAAGGAGAAGAGCAGAGACTTTAAAGTCCATCAAGGACCTCTCAGCTGCAGATCATTAGCTAGTTGAATGTTAACGTTCATGGCGTGTTGAGATCTGCCTCTGAGGGGGTGGCTTTGAAACCCTTTTGTTCTTCTAATATTTCCGTATGGAATGTGAATCTCTGTCAACGTTGGCTAGTGAAAAAAGTGTTGAAATAAGCATGGCACCAGCCTCCGTTTGAGCAGCACCTCAGAGCTGATCCGTGTTCAGCGCTCCACCCCTTCTCTAGCAGAAAAGTTCAATGGGATTTGTACGTGATCAAAAGTGGCCAGGGCGTTGGTCCAACATCATGCAGAAGGGGCATCAGAGTACTATAGCAGAACACACTCCATTGGTCCTTAGAGAGAGAGAGAGTTGGTAAGCAGTATAACAAGTGATCTGTTTTGTCTAGCTCTTTGGCTTTCAGGTGCTATATCGGTAAATGTCAGTGTGGCCTAGTGCAAGGGACTGGGACTCGGGACTCCTGGGTTCTATTCCTCTTTCTGTCGTTAACTTGCACTATTCTGTCTGTACCGTGGTGAGGTGGGTAGCTCTTTGGAAACTTGGTTTTGTGTTGCTTTCGCTAGGTGGAGAGCTGTGAGAGTAGCTCCCATAGCATGGACGAGGTCTCGCTCAGCGAATTCGGAGAATGGACTGAAATCCCTGGGGCCCATCACGTCATTCCTTGTGGCTTTATCAAGATTGTGGAGATCCTGGCCCATTCCATTCCAGAGTCGGTCATCCAGCTCCGCAAGCCAGTCAAGTGCATCCACTGGAACCAGACGGTCAGCAAGGAGATTGAGCGTGTGGCCGACCACAACAGCGACCGCCCCGAGGAGGACCAGGGCTACCATGTCTTTGTGGAGTGTGAGGACTGTGAGTTCATCCTCGCCGACCACGTCATCGTGACCGTATCACTGGGGGTCCTGAAGAAGTACCATGAGAGCCTGTTCCACCCTGGCCTGCCTGAGGAGAAGGTGATGGCCATTCAGAAACTGGGCATTAGCACCACCGACAAAATCTTCCTGGAGTTTGAAGAGCCCTTCTGGAGTCCTGAATGCAACAGCATCCAGTTCGTCTGGGAGGATGAGGCAGAGAGTGAGAGTTTGACTTACCCTGAGGAGTTGTGGTACAAGAAGATCTGCAGCTTTGATGTCCTATACCCACCGGAGCGGTATGGGTATGTGCTGAGTGGCTGGATCTGCGGGGAGGAGGCTTTGATCATGGAGAAGTACGACGATGAAACTGTGGCAGAAACGTGCACTGAGATGCTGCGTAAATTTACAGGTCAGCAATGCTCTCGTTCCTTTTGTTGGTGGAGAAGAAAGGGGGGACCGAGAGGAAGGAAATGCAGTGAAGTAGTCAATAGCTCCTTGGCCTTTTGTTCCTTTTGAAAGGATGTGCAAATGCTTTAGAAGCACCTGCTGCAGAGATGCACTCTACGTACTTATCTAAGTGCCACTGCTCTAAAGGCTTGAGTGTGTTTTGAGACTCATTTATATAGAGATGATGATGAAGAACTGGAGCACACTACATCAAATGGTGGGTTGAGTGCAGTCAGACTCCAAATGCTTTTTAAAAAAATCTCCACTCTCATTTTATCAGCTTTAACAGTTACAGCGATGCACTGACAGTCCGGATTCCCAGGGCCAGATCCTCAGCTGGTGTAAATCAGCATAGCTCCATTAAAGACAATGGAGTTACACCAGTTGAAACCAGCTGAGAGTCTGACATTTGGAGTCTGTCTCTGACTCCCACTCACTGCATGTGTAAGTCACATAGGACTAAATTTTCAAAAATGAGCCACCCCGGGCCTCACTTTTTCAGAGGCTCTGAGCACACTTCTGTTCAATGTTAGCTGCCAATAGTTTACAGCAGTGAAAATCAGGGAGCACCCAAAAATGAAGGCACCCCAAATTAGTGACCTTTTAAAAATTCAGGCTGTAACAAGTCTGTTTGTCAGTTCTGCATTACCTGTCTAGCTTAGCTGAGGGAAGGGGTATGTTTGTGAGGTGTAGCTCACTCATGCTGAAAAGCTCGGTGAGATCCTCAGAGGAAAGGTGCTGTATAAATATGCAAATCATCCCTGAGTCAGTGTGTTTCTAGTGGGGATGCCCAGGGATTAGTTCTTGGCCTGACGCTATTTAACATTTTTATCAGTGACCTGGAAGAAAACATAAAATCAACACTGATAAAGTTTGCAGACGGCACAAAATTCGGGACTGGTAAATAATGAAGAACTCAGCTCACTGTTATATAGAGCGATGTGGATGCTTGGTAAGCTGGGCACAACCAAACAATATGTATTTTAATACAGTTGCATGTAAACATATGCATCTAGGAACAAAGAATGCAGGCCATACTTTCCCATACAATCCCCCATGGGGGATTCTATTCCAGGAAGCAGTGACTCTGAAAAAGATTCGGGGGCCATGGTTGGATAATCAGCTGAACTTGGACTCCCTGGGTGATGCTGTGGTCTAAAGGGCTAATGTGATCCTGGGATGTATAAACAGGGGAATCTTGAGTAGAGAGGTTATTTTACCTCTGTATTTGGCACTGATGCGACCACTGCTGGAATACTGTGTCCAGTTCTCATGTCCACAATTCAGCAATAATGTTGATAAATTGGAGAGGGTTCAGAGAAGAGCCACGCAAAAGATTAAAGGATTAGAAAACATGCCTTACAGTGATAGACTCAGGGAGCTCAACCTGTTTAGGTTAACAAAGAGAAGGTTAAGGGATGTCTTGATTACAGTCTATAAGTACCTACGTGGGGAAAAATATTTGATAATGGGCTCTTCAGTCTAGCAAACAAAGGTATAACATGGTCCAGTGACTAGAAGATGAAGGTGGGCAACTTCAGAGGGGAAATGAGGCGTCAATTTTTAGCAGTGAGGGTAATTAACCACTGGCACAATTTACCAAGGGTTGTGGTGGATTCTCCATCACTGGTAATCTTTAAATCAAGATCAGATGTTTTTCTGAAAGTTCTGCTCTAGGAATTATCTGCGGGACATTCTATGGCCTTGTTATACACGAGGTCAGACTAGATTATCACATTGGTCCCTTCTAGTCTTGGAAGCTATGAAAAATACTTTGCAGAAATGCAGAACAGAGCATTGTACAGTCTTGGTCCAAGGATTTTCGGTTTTAGGGACTACTCCGTACTGAATTATAATTTTTTTTAAAAAAGAGGTGCTATCAAAGATGAGAAATCTTTCTATGCTTCCAGAAGCTTCTCTCTTATTATTAACATATTCGTATCCACACATCCATCCCATGCGATCTAAACCTTAGTTTTTGATTAACTTCCATCATGTCGCCCTATTCTATTGACCCCCAGACATTTGAACATAGTTTGTGTTTTCACATGGTATGAACGGTCAGGTTTCTGCTGTGCATACCAGCCAATCATGGTTTACAGCTTAGCTGAAGGAAGATGACAAGTTAGCAAAGTTCTCTTACCTGTTTGTTGGCTATGAACCATATTCAGATCTTCAGCAATGTTAGTTGGATCAGCTATGCTTATGAGTACTTGCTAATTAGTTGCTTCCATTCAAGAGGCAAATAATAGCTTCTTGTGGATGTAGCCTCACTTGCACATGTAGACGTAGAGTCTAAACTCCTGGGGTAGAGACCTGGGGTGAAATCCTGGCCTCATGGAAGTCCATGGCAAAACTCCTCTTCACTTCATTCAGACTAGGATTTCACCCCATGTCTCCTCTTTAGTTTTGTACATCATGGAGTACCTTCTCACTATTCACATAATAGACTTTTTAGCGGAAAAGGACAGCCGTTACTCTTTTTTCTTTTTAAATCCCTGGCTAGAGACCTTCTCCAACACTTCAGGTGGAGACATTCAGAATGTATTTAACAATACAGATTTTGACTTGCAGTTTTACTGAGGGTCAGGATTTATTATTCCTCAAGATAAATATTGGCCTAGACTTCCTCTGTCAATACTTATCCCTCCAGTCATCGAGCTTCAGCTCCAGTGCCCACTGAAGTCAATAGGAGTTGAATTGGGACATAAATCTTGATACCCACTCCAATGTAAATCAGTAACTGTTAACTCTAATAATAAGAGGGACTTGTTACTGACAATAACAGGGCAGAAGTTAACTGATGACTTAGTTGCTTTATTTTGCAAGTACTGTAGCACGTTCTCTTGGCCAGTGGTTTGTTGCTGGTTGAGCCATCAGGATACCTCAGAGCCATTTCTGGCAGTAGATTCCTGTGGCAACTTTAACTTTAAGAGAAATCTATGACCTTTTGCTCAGCAGTCTGAAAGTTCACATGGCAAGAAACATTTCTCACCATGCACAGCATTAAAAACAGTGTGTGGTACTGGAAAATACTATGCCGTTAAATAGGGATTTAAAGCTACATGGCCTCCCTGAATCGGGGTGTTATAGAATCATAGAAGATTAGGATTGGAAGAGACCTCAGGACGTCATATAGTCCAATCCCCTGCTCAAAGTAGGACCAACACCAACTATCATCACCACTTCCTCCTTCTCCTCTTCAACTCCATCTGCAGCCAGAACTGCCTTAAGCACAAGCAAGACAAAGGTCGTGCTTGGGGCCCAGTGAAGTCTGAGCAACTCATTATTTATTTCCCACCTCCATCTGTTTAGGGGGAAAATGCTTACAAGGCTCAATTTTCCATCCTCGGGACCTTCGAATTGCAAGGTTAATCCAGCTTGAACTCCACTCCACTGCACTCCACCCTTCTCTTGTTCCCATCCCAGCCTCCACTGAGATTATAAAGAAGAGTGCAGTGGTACCTTAAAAACATCCATATAAATTGAATCGAAATCACTGTTCTTACTAATTACAGCAGGTCAGCTCCAACCTTCCATAAAGACAAGAGAAGGCTCTTTTCATAACATCATGTTGTCTTAGTGCTCCACGATGATGCTTTCCAAATCTTATAAATAATCTTGATTGCCATTGTTCCTCCTATTTAAAACTGTTGAGCTTCTTTTTCTAAATTATTTTATTCGGTGGGAACTAAATTCTTTAGCTTCCCCCTCTCCTACTTTGCACCTCCCCTCTTACAAGTAAAGTTAGTTACCGAACTCTCTCTCCTCCCTCTCACTCCTCTTTTCAGGGGAAAATAGTTTGAAATTGGATCTTCGGTGTCCACTACGGTTGCTGTTCCGCATGATCCAACACTTGCTCAGTGTCCATCAGGTTCCTCAACCATCGCAGCTGTAACCCATCTTTGTGCTGGTTACATTTGCCAGATCTCCACAGCCAAACTGATCTGGTCTCTCTCTCGGGCACTCATCACTGCAGGGAAAAGAGGGTTCTTGGAGCACTTTCATTATGCCTTGTGTCCAGTTCCACCGGTGAAATGTTCATGGTTTGATTCATTCCCCCCAAGCAAGTCTTTTTATCTGCTGGAAAGTTTTTCACAATGCCCGTAGCTGTTCCTCTAAACCTCCCTGGGATAACAGGGCGTTTTTTTCATTGGTGTTTGCTGGGTGAATTTTGGTGCTCCAAACCCATACTTGGATAGCTAACTAAGCAGCCTGAGCTCCCTCAGCCACTGTTGAAGCTCACCCTTTTCACAGTCAAACCACTTATTCAGGTGCTTCAGACACCCAAGTCTGGAGATTTGGGCCTTAACCGCTCTGTGTCTGTTTAAAATGACTGCACCCCTCTGCAATACTTCCCTGCCTCACAAGAGACTTGAGAGACATAATCAGTGTTTTGAGATGCTCAGAGGAAAATGCTCTATAAGTCCAAATGATTATTACTGTTGCAGGGAATAGGTCTACTTGTGACCTAACTCAGAACTTGCCACCAGCAATCTAGAAATAACCATAACCCTCTGCTCCATCAGGCCCCATCATTAATGCTGTTGATTTTTATACCTCTGGGTAGCTTTCACACAGGGATGGGCATTGAGGGACAGTGCAGTGCTATCTCATGCTCCTTTATAAACAGAATACAGGAGTCCCTAGGACTCCGCTCTTCAGCTGTACATTTAAGTTACAGGGTCTGGTCCAGTGCCCATTGAAGTCAGTAGGACTCTTCCTATTGACTTCAGTGGGTGTTGGATCAGGCTCATGTTCTATTATTTTAGGCTCAGCATAATTTTACTCTCGGTATGCTTCTTGGAGGAGGAGGAGAGGAGATTATCTGCCTCTGGAACCTTAAATTTCACATGTAAATGAGAGTAGTGGATTATCTATATTTGCTGTGAAAGCCCTCTAGGTTTTGCTGGCCTGAGAACCATTGACAATTCCAGTAATTCACAACTGGGTAGCTGAAAAATGTAGCGTCCTCTAAATCTGATTAAAACAGGCTGCCTCTAGCCCATAGGCCTAGTTTGACTGCTGTATTTGGGGTGGGAGGCAGCTCCAGCCAGGCCAATAGGGCTGTGTGTGTGTGTCGGGGGAGGGAGAGACATCTTCTCTCTCTCCCTCTCACCCCACTTTCGCTGGCTCTCTTCCCGCTCCTGGAGTGGTGGGCACTGCGACGGGCTGCGCACTACCTGGGCTGCCGGTGCTGGGGGGTGGGGTGGGCCAGCTTAGCAGGGGAGCCCTGGATGCTGATGCTGTCTGCTGTGCTGACCTGAGCGGGGGAGCCACGACCACTCTGGCACCAGCTGCTGCCGCTGGACTTGATGCCGCCATTTTCTGGTGACTCCTGGCGCTGCTGTGGCCGCCTTCCTGCCGGGGCTGGTGCTGCTGCCGAGGGGACACGGCATGTCGGGCTCCCGCTTCCCCGCTGCACCGCACAGAGACACGCGGCAGCGTGGGCCCCACCAGGACCACCAAACAGCCAGTACCCCGGGCTGCTGGGGGACAAGGAGGAGAAAGTTGGGAGTCAGGGAGCTGCTGGCAGGAGCCCAGCTAGGTGCATTAAGTTAAATGCACCGAGCCTCTCCCCCTCACTACAGCGTCTCCCTATAAGGCTGGCCTTGTTTGGGGGGGGCAATGTCTCCCCCCGCCCCCCAACTATGCCCATGCTCTAGACAGTCTGAGGCCTTGTACCCATTACTGTGTTGGCTAAGCTCTCAGTGTTGAGAATTTGGATTTCTGGGAGCCTGTGGCCAAGGCACTCACTCAGCTATGCAGCGTTTTTCTAATGCTGACACATGCTGTATTAAATCTGCAACCTCCCTGTGAAATGTGCTTTGTTCTTTCTGCATCATACATGCTTCAGCTTTTAGCCTTTCACATTTTCACAATGTTTGCAAGTGCAAAATCTAAAATAACATTCAGCGGTGCTCATGCTTTTCAGTTTAACTTTTGGTTAGGGTTTGAACATGACTGGACTTCCTGCAATAATGGACAACCTGCATGGAGTTCCAAAAGATATTCCAAGCTACAGCTGAAAAGCTTGACCCCTCAGTCTTCAGGAACACTTGGATCCTGATCTGTATTTCGTGGGTGGCTCCTAACTCTACAATGGACCAAACAAAGGGCTTGATATAAAGCCCACTGATATGAATGAGGCTTTCCGTAGACTAAAGTGAGCCCTAAGTCCCCAGATCAGAACACTACCCAACTTTCTGAGGAAGTTAGCTCTAGACCCATTTCTACGAGGAACTGATCCAAAGGAAGTGAATCAGCTCTACCTACTCACTCTTAAGCAAGTTACAAGGCTGACTGACTCTGCAAAACACACAGGCAAAACTCCACTCGATTTCAATGGGAGTTACTTACTTACCTGCATGCACACACATTCATCCCTCACCAGGCCCTACAACTATGATACCCTGGTTTGTGTATTGTAAATCCACACACCCTTGCCTCAGAACTAGTACTATGAAAACAGAATAAAGAGAGGCTGGTTTGGGTTCCATGGATTCCCCCTCCACAGATTCAGAAATATGAACCCTGGTGGGGTAATAATGGGTACGCTCTGTGACGCTTCCCAGGAGTACCTCGCTACCACCTGCCCTGAGCATGAGGGAGCCTTGTCTGTGGCTGCTCGGAGTCAACGCCTGGACACCGCCAGCCCCAGGAAGCATGAGCACTCTCAGCCTACCCAGGCTCTGTCGTCCCTTTGCAGATTAGTGATAGAGACACACCAGTCCCTGAGTTGTCTGAGCATCCGCTGGAGTATCCAGCCCCTGATCCACTGGGCGCTCACAGAATTCACAGATCCACTACTCCCAAGGGAACAGTATGCACCAGCCTATCAGTGTCACCTCTCCACTTAACACACAGCACTTAGATATGTTTATAGTGCAAACAGGAATATGTTCATTTGACAAGGAACAGTGATGGGAGAAGAAGCAAGCAGGATTAATGGAAAGAAATGATTACAAATCAAATCAAATCATAACACGCATTCTAGAGCTTAATCTCATAACTAGCAAGTTGTCCTCCTCACCCAAAGTCCTTCTCACAGTGTTTTTCATCTGGATGGCTGAGCACCTGCCTTTTGTAAGCCCAAGCCCACTGGCAGCTTGTCTCCCCAGATGGAGGATGCCAGGGTGTCTCTCTGCACCCCTCCATGTAACAGACACGTCCTTTGCTTTTCACCTGTAAACGGATTTCTCCCCCTGCTGTTCTTCCAATTAATTTCTTCTGAAGTTCCTGCAATCTCCTCGTTAGCATATGACTCAGTATGCAAACAGACTCCTGTTGTAAAACACGCAATACACAATGGTCAGCCAAGCATTTAAGAACATAATTTGCAGTATATATACACGTCTCCTTACATAGTATCCACTCATACATTTTGCAAAGATTAGGATGACCAGTGTGACACAGGCTTTCAGTAGAGACCTGAAGTGATACTCTTCAGTGGAGGGGTATGTAAATACCACACCCAGGGTACACCTCTAACCCTTCTGCATCCCTCTGCCAGTTGGCAGCAAGAAGTCCTAGGGTCACACACTCCTATGTTAATGATAGCCAAAGTCTTTGCACAGCCATCATCTCTCTATTTGAATAGCGCATCTGTGACCCTTTCTTAGGGGTTTCCACATCCACATCAATGTATTTATTTGATCTGTGGACAAACAGAAGCAGCCCGAATCTCCAGCTATCTATAAAAAAATGTTACGAGAGTATCCTGTTCGATGAGTTTCTTGACAGATTTTCAGCTGAGTTTTGCTTCCCTGCCAGGCAGAGGTAGCATTTCTAATTGGTTTTCTTCCCCTACAAGGGAGCACTGCAACATTGTGGCTTGTAGAGTTTGTCTATTTCCCCTCAAATGGAGCCTCCCTCTATCAGTCTGCCGTGACTGGCCAGGTGGAAGTTAAAGACACCATAGGATTTCTATTGCAAAGTTGAGGGATAGTCTGTTTCTTGGCCAGCATTCCCCACAATTTCTCACCCCAAATGTAACAGGTTTCTAATATTTAAAGTGGCGTGAATGCTACAGTCAAATGCATAATAGATACTGCTCTTTTCCTCCACCTCCACTGTACTGCGAAGAGGAGGATGGTCTGGGCACAAGCACAGGGCTGACAGTAAGGAGATCTCAGATCTGCCACAGATACTTCGGTTTGACCAGGGGCAAGTCACTTTATCTCTCTGTGCTTCAGTTTCCAGTTAGTGCTATGGGAATGATACTGTTTCAATCACAGAAGGACTGAAGCTTAACTCATGAGGGTGTACTTTTGGAGATCTTCAAAAAGGAAACACAATGTTGTTTTTTACACGAGTATCTGAGTCATTGCTTTAAGCCCGCTGATTTTATACAACTGCCATTCAGGCTAGAGATACCCCAAACTCTCTTCCTTTCACAAATTCAGTAGCTCCCTGGATTCTGTAATATGTTTGCATGCTCCCTAACAGCCTCTGAATTATCTCTTTCTAATCTCTGTCCCTGCTTTTGTCTGATTCTCAATTTAAAATTCAGTACTGGTAAGGGCAACGTCATGTTCCCAGCGTTATCAACTTTTTATTATTGTTCTGTTATGTATTGACGCCGGCACCTAAAGACCTCTGGGCACCTTGACAATATAAAATGAGAACATGCACCCTTTACAATGTGAGGGCAACAAAGGCTCATTTCTAACCACCTCCTCTTATTTGGATTGGCACTGTACAATACATTGTGTGACTTTTGTGTAAGTGCTTTGGAATGTGCTCTGTAAGAAGACTTTAGAGTACAACAGTATTTGCATTGTGTTATGGCACTTGCCATATGTTCTCTTGGGCTTATGCTCAACCTTTTCAAAATAAAATGTGACAGCCATTTCCTTGACAAATCTGATATCTTAAAATGTGGCTTCCTATTTCTGCACAGCTCAGACACTTATCAGGCTTTTCATTTCAAACCCAAGTCATTGCCCGGAACCATTGCTGATCCTGCTCCTAATTTTCCTGGAAGAGCATATTTTTAATTCCTTAAAACCTACAAATGGCTGCATACATGTACCTTGACTGTGCAGGTTCAAGAATAAAGGTCTTGCTTATTTGTCCGTCTGTACTATACTTTAGTCCCATTGGTCATCAGTTCAATAATACCACTATGCCACAACATACGCTTCTGTGGAGGAACTTCCTGTTGTACGCCCACCTCATATTCTTACAGCGTTGTAAGCATACAAGGGGTGAGCTGTAACCAGAGGAATAACCAGCCCCTGTCCTCAAGAGAACTATTTTAGGCTTGTTACATAGGGTTGTCAGGCTCACTATGGTTAGGCCCTTATAGTTGTATTTTAAAAATGTGAAGAAATAACTAACTGCCTGGGCAGGTTGCAGAGCTCCCCACTAGTCGCCTCCCGATTTTGCAGCCGCTTTTCTCTGGACTGTGTTTTCTCCTTTGGTTTTGACCCAGGGAATCCAAACATTCCGAAACCTCGCCGCATCCTGCGGTCCTCCTGGGGCAGCAATCCCAACTTCCGAGGATCCTATTCTTACACCCAGGTTGGGTCTAGCGGGGCTGATGTGGAGAAGCTTGCTAAGCCACTGCCTTATACGGAAAGCTCCAAGACGGTTGTAAGTATTGAACACTAGGATGGAGAGAGAGATGGTTTGGCTATGACTTTATTAAGGGGGCTCGCTAGATTCCATGGTTTGTAGCCTACTTTCGATACAATATTTATACTGATCTGTGCGGGCCTCTATTCTCCTCTCCTTGCAGTTCTTTGTTTCTTTTACCTACTGGAAATCTGCCCTCAAATATTTTAAACCTGTTCTTGGGCTGATTTTATTCAGAGAGGTTTTGCCTCCCTGCTTCACCTGCCTGTTCTTCTTACTACTGCTTTTGGGGGTGGCATGGGGGCACTGAACACAGAGAGGGACCTTCGGACATTTGCTCCCCATCAGCCGGGGCAGGCACCTGTAAAAGAGAATCTCAGGTTGGTCATGATTGGCTGATGCATTTTTAAACACTACTTTCTCTGTCTGTGCTAGATGCCAAGTCCTGTTTGAAACGATGGGTGTTAAATAGCGATCGTTTACTCATTTTAAAACACAACCCTTTTTTCGTAGTGTTCCTGGGAAGCAGTGACTCTGAAAAACATTTGGAGGTCATGATCGATGTGCTCCCCAGTGTGATGCTGTGGCCAAAAGAGCTAATGTGATCCTGGGGTGCATAAACAAGGGAATCTTGAGGAGGAGCAGAGAGGTTATTTTACCTCTGCATTTGGTTCAGTGCAAACGCTGCTGGAATCCTGTATCCAGTTCTGGTGCCCACAATTCAAGAAGGATGTTGATAAATTGGAGAGGGGTCAGAAATAAAGCCACGAGAATGATTCAAGGATTAGAACAAAACCATGCCTTATAGTGAGAGGCTCAAAGAACTCCATCTATTTAGCTTAACAAAGAGAAGGTTAAGGGGTGACTTGATTACAGTCTGTAAGTATCTACATGGAGAACAAATATTAATAATAATAAAGGGCACTTCTGTCTAATAGAGAAAGATGTAACATGATCCTAAGGCTGGAAATTGAAGCTAGACAAATTCAGACTGGAAGTAAGGTGTAAATTTTTAACAGTGAGGGTAATTAACCATTGGAGACCGGTAATTTTTAAATGAGGAGAGGATGTTTGTCTGAAAGCTCTGCTCTAGGGAAGTTCCATGGCCTGTGTATACAGGAGGTCAGACTAGATGATCACAGTGCTCCCGTCTGGCCTTAGACTCTGTGCATCTCTGAATGAGTGTTAAACATGGCCTCAGTTGTGACTTATCCTGAGGGCTAATTTGGAATATGCCAGAGCAGTGTATTGAGAACTCCTTCTGTGGCTGTGCTAGTACATTAAAGAGATCCTGCCCCTTGTCGTGAAGCTCATGCGTTGGGAGTTCAAGTGATAAAATGTTCTTCTCAGGCAATCCCAGTTCTTTGAATGTGGCGCTAAGAAGACATGTGAGGTGTCCACTATGTCTGTGCAATTTCCCAGGCTACTTGCTTTGTCTCAGGGTCTAGACCAGAGGTGGGCAAACTTTTTGGCCCAAGGGCCATGTCGGGGTTGCACAACTGTATGGAGGGCCGGGTACGGAAGGCTGTGCCTCCCCAAACAGCCTGGGCCCTGCCCCCTATCTGACCCTCCCACTTCCTGCCCCCTGACTGCTCCCCTCAGAGCCCCCGACCCATCTAACCCCCTCCGCTCCTTGTCACCTGACTGCTCCCTCCTGGGACCCCCGTCCCCTATCCAACCCCCCTCTTCCCTGACAGCCCCGACTCCTATCCACACCCCCGCCCCCTGACAGCCGCCCCGGGACTCCCAACCCCTATCCAACCACCCTCTGCTCCTTGTCCCCTGACCACCCCTTCCCAGAACCCCCCGCCCCTAACTGCCCCTCAGGATCCCACCCCCTTATCCAACCCCCCCTTGCTCTCTGTCCCCTAACTGCCCTCCCGACCCCTATCCACATCCCCACCCCCTGACAGGCTCCCCAGGCCTCCCACTTTCAACCCTCCCTGTTCCCCATCCCCTGACCGCCCCCGCAGAACCTCCACCCCATCCAACCGCCCCCTCCTCCCTGACTGCCCCCAAGGACCCCACGCTCCCTTACCCAACCCCACGCTCCCCGCCCCCTTACCAGCAGCAGGAGCTTGCAGCCGCGACACCCAGCCGGAGCCAGCTGCACTCCCCACGCTGCCCAGCAGGAGCGGCGTGCCAGAGCGCGGCCTGCGTGGCGGCGTGGCTGCGGGGGAGGGGGGACAACAGGGGAGGGGCCGGAGACTAGGATCCCCGGCCGGGAGCTCAGGGGCCGGGCAGGATGGTCCCGCGGGTCGGAGTTTGCCCACGTCTGGTCTAGACCCCCTTCCTAGAGAGATGATGACTTGTCAAGCTGACTTCTGTGATCCTGTCTCTTCTTTTGGCTATACATTTTTTGTATAATTATGAGGGGCAGAGGTGCCTATTAAAAGGGGAAGTTGAGATTTTGAATCATTTAAATTCTGTGAACATCTCTACTTCCTGTGGAATTCACCACTTCAAAGCCCATGTAGCCTTTTCCCCTTTCATATCTCTCATGTGTGGGGGAATTTAATTAATAAAATCTCTGGATGAACCAGAGCTTTTTCATATGCGATCCCCTTAACAAGCACATAGATACTGTGGTGAAAGACGCTATAAAATCGAGAGAGATGCCACTGTTCTCTTAGTCCAGGAATCTGGTGGCTTTGGGATGTATCTTGTCATACTGGGGAAAAATTAAACTTAACCCTCAAAAAGAATACAGTGAACATGGCATCGTGTGGGATGAAAGAAGCAGAAACTGAATCTGCAGAGAAGGTAAAGCTTTCAAACCTCCTCTAGTGTAGATGTGCTGCAGTCGGATAAAAAATGATTTGCACCAGTACAGCTGCATTGGTGTATCCATGCCCTCAGAGGATGGTACTACACAGTCACGCTAGCCAGTACATATTTGGTACTCACAACTGCATGTTTTGCATGTAGCTGTGGCACATCCCTTTGGAAATTTCGCCCCTGATGCCCACAAGAATTTGGGTGTTAATTTTGAGTGTGTAGAAGGGCAATAGAATGTTTGGCTCTTTCCCGGAGCTGTAATGGATGGAACGCTGTAACTTCCACTGACTTTCTTTTCTTATCTCCAGCCTATGCAGGTGATGTTTTCGGGGGAGGCCACTCATAGGAAGTATTATTCCACTACCCATGGTGCTTTGCTTTCTGGCCAGAGAGAGGCTGCTCACCTCATTGAAATGTACCAAGACCTCTTACAATGCAGGAACTGAAAGGCTTAATGTTTGAGAAGAACCACTAACTCGTGATACCTTTTACAGTTGTGTGTAGGTTTTTTTAAATTAATAGTAGAACAATTTTTATCTTTTTATATAAAAAAGCCCTAACTGTTTAAAAACATAGTCACCTGTAGCTTATTTCCTTTACTGTATTGTTAACAGAGGAGGGTGCTCTTTCTGTATGGTAAACTTTGTGTGTGTGTGTGTGTGTGTGTGTATGTGTGTCATTTTAATTGCACTTTCAGTGCCTCTTCAAATTTTTTTTCTGTTTTGTAAGTGCCTTCTCTTCTAAAATAAATGTTGTAATAAAATATCTGAGTAGTGTGGTACATCCTGTGCACTTGTTTGGGAGCTTCTGCTCAATACCTTATTTTTCTCTTTCCAAAAAGTTTATGGATTTCTGTTCCTTGCCATGGGATTTGAATAGGAGGGGTCTTTTCTCTTAAGGTGTGTCTTCACTGCAGAATTAACTTGGGTGATGGGCACGGCTTAGCCTAGCCCAGGTGTGAGCAGTCACACTGCAAAGCCCTGCCCAAGTTATTGTGTCTTCACTGGTGTTGCACTCCCATTGGACTTCTGGGGGCATATCCCATGGGGTTTTCTGCTGCTCTATGATTTTTCCCAGTGAATTGTGGGAGAATTTGTCTGCCCTTCTGGGCACACGGGGGGAACTGTGGGAAGGCCCTCGAGTACTTGAGTGGTTTAGCCTGTCCACAGGGCAAAGTGGTCAGGTTATCAGCCTGAGTGAAAGCAGCATTAGCCTATATCCCCAGCTAGTTTGGGTTTAAAGCACCACCAAACTCAGGTGAGAGCGTTTTGCATGTGGATGGGAGCAGGGTCAGGGGGAACACCCGTGTAAGAACCCAAGCTAACTCTGCAGTGTAGACAGATACTTAATTCTGTTTGTTTGGTGGCAGTGCCCCAGATACGCTTTCCAAACAGAAGAAGACAAGGGACCAAAGTCATTTGAAGTCTGAGACTACTACTCACAATAGTAAAGGCCATGCCCAGCAGCAGTTGTTTGCAGGATTGTGGATGGCTGGGTCCAAGCATGTTATAACAAAACCAGGTGTTTTTAAAAGTATTCTGAATGCTCCAAATACACTGGTAGACATGGACCTGAGCTAGATCCCCAGCATCTAACCATCAGGAGGCCAGATCCCAGCTTTGCATCCCAGGCCTACCTGTGCACATTTGAGACAGCATATCCTCAGAGGGGAGGGACCAGCTTCCCTCCTCGGCCTGTTCCATCTCTAATTCCCTTGGCTCTGTGAGAAGGAATATTCTGCTCGTACGCTGTAGGCGGTACCCATATGAGAATACAGAGCATGGGCTCTGTTGTTTGAGGCGGATGCTTACTGTACACTCAGGTTGGGGCTAACTGTTTCAAACACCTTTGGGTTGCCACCTAGCTTAATCTTGTAATATATGTGGGGGTAGGAGGATTTTGGTTTTTGCGTGTCTCGGTGATCCCTTTGTGAGGCCAGCTTTCTGTAACAGGCCTAGGTTCTGGGGCAATCGGATAAAACAATGGCATGACACCTTCCCCCAACCTTTGTTTTATTGAAAGCTCATATTCCATTATGGCTCGGACTGAGAGCCTGCCACTGATTTAACAATCCAACTCCACGTTCCATGAGGAGCCTAAACATCATGCAAAAGATTAGGGAATCTCTCTGCCAAGGTTTGTTTATGGTGTATTCTGTCTCCTTCTTCTTGCATGTCTGACCCTGGTGTCCGGCACTGACTGGGGTAATACACTTTTATCAGGGGAGCATCCCAAGGTAATGATACCAGCAGTAGTAATCCAGCACAGCTCAGTCCTAGCCACATTTGGCTTATTTGAAAAATGGTTAAAACTGAAGTTAGATTAAATTTCTAGCCCACAGTACAAAGCCTTGAAAATGTAATTAAAGAAGGAGAGAGCTTGAAAAATGATACAACCATCTATTGCACCATGGGCCTCTCAAAACGTCAAGGACAGCTGAGCTAGAACTTAAATTTTCCAGCACCAAAAGGACCCTTCCTACTTGAGCTAAAGGAGAAGCTCGTAAGAACCTAAAAAAGGCCATACTGGCTCAGATCAATGGTCCATCTAGCCCAGTATCTTGTCTTCCAACAGTGGTCAATGCCAGGTGCTTCAGAGGGAATGAACAGAACAGGGTAATTTGAGTGATCCATCCCCTGTCACCCAGCCCCGGCTTCTGGCAGTCAGAGGTTCAGGGACACCTGGAGCATGGGGTTGTGGCCCAGACCATATTGGCAAATAGCCATTGATGGACCTATCCTCCATGAGCTTCTCTAATTCTTTTTTGAACACAGTTATACTTTTGGCCTTCACAACGTCCTCTGCAAATGAGTTCCACCGACTGACTCTGTGTTGTATGAAGAAATACTTCCTTCTGTTTGTTTTAAACCTGCTCCTATCAATTTCATTGGGTGACCCGCTGGTTCTTGTGTTATCTCCATTAGCAACTAGCCATATAAACCGTATGACATACAGTTGAACAGTTCTGTTTGCATCCAGGAGAGGTCAGTGTAACACATAGAGCCCTGCACAGATACAACATTTATATCCACATCCGATCTGCGACCCACAACAATGGTGCGCAGATATCTGCAGATTTGCAGGTCACTACACATAGTCATTCCTCAGTGTACCAAATGGTTTCTGAAGGGGCACCTCAGTGATCAGATTTTCCAGCTGTAGTTTGTATTCCAGCAATGCAATCTGGACCATGAAAATCTGTTTCACTGTGAAATGAGGAGGAGGGCACCAAATGCATAATTAGTAGAAACCATCTGTGCCAAATCCCCAGAGCTACTTATCAGTTTAACAGAGAATTCTCCTAAGGTCTAATTAGGCTTCTCAAAAAGAAACTCACTGTTTATTTTAAAAATGTGCTTAATTGGGTATTAGCATTAGCAACAGGCTGAAGCATATGTGTGCCTATGTGTGTCATTTACTTCTCTTGAAGTTTTTTCCTTATTTGTGTAAAGCAAATATTTGCCAGAGCATATGTTCCTTTTATACTGTAAACACAAATGGGCTATAAAACAAAGCCCGGCTTTTCAGCAAATACTGAACAGGGATCTGGGTGCAAATGCAGAGGTGGTTTTGGTTTAGGCAGATTGTCGTTCGGGATTTTTCGGCTCCCCTGAATTCTGTGGACAGTTTGGCTAAATGGGTCTGGTTTAGACCCTTTACTGCAAAACCAAAAATCTATAGTTGAAGCCTATAATGTCACGCTGGTAATCACACACCCACATCCACCCCCTGTCTCCTCTGCCATCGGGTTAGAACACCAGGAATGACCATATTGGGTCAGACCTAGGAGCCATCTAGTCCAGTATCTTGTCTCTCTGACAGTGACCGGTATCAGATACTTTAGAAGAAGGTGAAAGAAACCCTGTGGTAATGAATCTTGAAATAATGTACCCAGGGGTCTGTAATTTTGGAGTGCAAATCATTTTGTTTTTCTGAGAACTATACATCTTTTCTTTTTAAAGATGAATGAACAAAAATAGAGATGAGATTATCTTTAAAACGAACAAAAATGCTGTTCTAAACAAAACGTGGATCTCAAAGGACACATGCCATGTGCCCCTGCTTAATCTCTGAGCTTGTTGTTGCATTCTGTCCACTGTCTGTCTGTCTACCTGGACAAGGGGATTATGCTTTGGCACTAAAGTGAAGCACATGTGCACATGCAGGATTAGGAGTTTAAACTATTAACTCTGCTAGATGGGGATCTCCTTTTCATGCTTTTTTGCAAAGCACCTAACTTCCTGTGACTAGTGGGTAAATAATGCCTCTGCTGTGAAGTTCTGAGTGGCAGCAGAGTGCAACACAGCGTGGCCTTCCGATTCTTCCTGGGTATGTGTATAGTGAAAAATACCCCTTGCAAAATGAAGTTGGAAAAGGTCTCCATTTCATAAGGCTGCTCCAGTTTTGCAGGAGTTTTGCACCTAAAAAAACAAACTAATTCTACTGAGCTCCACAAACAAGACATGTCCATGATGAATATTTCATCCAGTTCTAATATGGATGCCAACAGAAGAGCCGGAACAAGTCACGCCTGGGGAGTTTATCGTCTCCGCACATGACATGCTCTGTACGTCACAAGGACTCCTTAGGATTATTTCCTAGCGGTCAGATCTATTAGGCCTGGTCTACACTACGACTTTAATTCGGATTTAGCAGCGTTAATCCGAATTAGCCCTTCACCCGTCCACACTACAGAGCCAGTTAATTCGAATTAAAGGGCACTTAAAATCGATTTCTGTACTCCACCTCGACGAGCGGAGTAGCGCCTAAATCGATTTTGTTAATTCGAATTAGGGTTAGTGTGGCCGCACACCACCAAATTACTGTGGTTAAATTAATGGGGTAGTGTGGCCGCACACCACCGAATTAATGTGGTTAAAAACCGAATTAATGTGCTTAGTGTGGCCGCGCACAATCGAATTTATACAACCTGTTTCCCAAATTCGAATTATCTAAATTCGCATTAATTCCGTAGTGTAGACATACCCTTAGAGGGGAATAATCTCCCAAATGAAGTAGTGGAAGCCCCATCTCTTGAACACACAATGTGGAGAGGCATCATGTCTCTGGTGATTAGCTAGCTGTTTGCAGGGGGCACACTCAGTTGCTACCGCATAGAACATATTGACTCCATTCAAAGACTGCACCTGCTCCCTCTGTGCTTCTGGAGGCAATTTATGGTGCTGTCTCTCACCTGTAAAGCCCTATGTGGGTTGGGCCTTAGGTACCTGGCTCTTTCCCCATATGCCAGTGTGGCAGCTGAGGTCATCTGGAATGTCTGGGGCTGGAGACACTTGGTTTAATGGAGAGCCATTGCTCTGGAACTTGCTTCCCCAACTAATCCACCAGCGGCTGTGTCAATTAGCCGTCTGCGCCTGGTGTACAGCTCAGAGGCATGTGGGTGGGTGGACCCTGCAGTAGTTTATTAGAAAGTGTCTTCCAGTGTAGACATTAGGACAGCCCGGTCTGTCTGTCTGTTTTCACAGCTTTTAGCTCTGCGACTATGTGATAAGTGCATTTATAAATGAAATAAAAATAACTCTCTCTGCAATGCAATACTCTGTAGCCTCTTTATCTGCAGTGTAACCCAACCTGGTTGGCGGAGTCAGATGGTTACCAAACCAAAGCACGGGACCTGGAAATGAAGAGGGCCAGGCAAAGA